GATGGACACTTAGGCTCTTTCCATGTTTTAGCTATTGTGGAGAGTGCTGCTATGAACATTGGGGTCCATGTGCTCCTATGCCTCAGCATTTCTGTATCCCTTGGGTAAATTCCTAGCAGTGCTATTGCTGGGTCATAAGGGAGTTCTATTGTTAGTTTCCTGAGGAACCTCCACACTGTTTTCCAGAGGGGCTGTACCAGTTTACATTCCCACCAACAGTATAGGAGGGTGCCCGTTTCTCCACATCCTCGCCAGCATCTAGAGTTCTCTGACTGCCCTGGGTTGAAGAGTGCAACCAAATTTTCACTGATTCTTAAGGCTGTAGAAATAATTTCCATTGCAGTTCTAGCTCTTACATTTAAGTTTACAATACATTTTTGGATTAATTTCGTGTATGGTGTGAGGAAAGGAAAAAGTTACTTTTCCATGGAAATATTCCAGTGTTCCCTTACCATTTGTTGAAAATTAACCTTTTTTCTTTGAATTACTTTGGTAGCTTTGTCAGAAATAATTTCACCTAATATGTATTGGATACTCTTCTGTGTTCCCTTTTTTTTTTTTTTTTTTAATTTATTTCTAGGAGAGAGATAGAGACAGCGTGGTTTTATTTATTTCTAGGAGAGAGAGACAGCGTGAGCAGGGGAGGGGCAGAGAGAGAGGGAGACACAGACTCTGAAACAGGCTCCAGGCTCTGAGCTGGCACTCAGCGCAGAGCGGGACGCGGGGCCCGAACCCACGAACCGCGAGATCATGACCCAAGCGAAAGTCGGACGCTCAACCGACTAAGCCACCCAGGCGCCCCTCCTCTGTGTTCTCTGTTCTGTTCTATTGGTCTACTTCTCTGTCCTCTCATTATCACACTCTCTTGATTACTGCAGCATCCTAGGTCTGGAAACCATGCAATATAGGTCTTCTGACTATTCTTTTTCAATATTCCTTGTAAATTCCAGGTCCTTGGCATTTCTAGATTAGATTCAAGTTGTTATTTTCTTAAAAAAAAAAAAAAAAGCAGGGGCTCCTGGGTGGCTTAGTCGGTTAAGCGTCCGACTTTCGCTTAGGTCATGATCTCGCGGTTCGTGGGTTCGAGCCCCGTGTC